GTATGAGATATACGGAGGACACCCTGTACATGCGAATACGGGAGAGAGACAGAGAGGGAAATTCCCAGGAGAAGCATAAAGCCGTGGACAGCCGCGCCACCCTCTTTCCGGTGGCATCCTGACGCGGAGCTTGCGCTAGCGCGCGTTTACGTGCTCCGTCACAGTGCTCGGTTACAGTGACGACGATGACATGCAACGACGCCGAGGAAACCGACGCGAGACCCGTCATATACCGAGCAACTGTTGCATCCGTGTACACTTCTCGTAAAAGAGGGTGGAACAACGATACGCGATCTCGCTTTTTTCTTCTTTTTTTTTTTTTAATTCACCTTTATCGTTTCGTTGGAAGAGAGAAATAGGTGCAGAGAAAGAGAGAGAGGAGGTATACGTTAAACGATGCTAATGCAATAACCGCGTCACTGCGTGATTCCGCATGGTTTGCACTTGGAAGGATGCGATAGGTGCGATGGAAGAGAAAGAGAGAAAGAGAGAGAGAGGGTAATTGGGAATAAAATGTTTCTTTTGAAGGGCTTCGCGGGGAATAGCACGCTTTGGATAGGTATAGAGTGGAATTTCAAGGGTGATAATGGTTTGAATATGATTTTTAGGAAATTGAATGGAAATTTCGTTTGGAGATATTGATATGTGAGTTATATTTTTAAAAAGTTAATTTAATTAAAAATGAAATATTTGTTTTAAAGGGCTTCGTAGGGAACGAAATAATAAATGTTGAGATAAATTGCGGAGAACGTATAGACCATAATTTTGGAAAAATGTAGAGCGGAATTTCAGGGGTGGTAATAATTTGGAGATGATTTTTGGGAAGTTGAATTGCTTATGGAAATTTTGTTTCAATATTTTTTGGCAATATTGAGTTATATTTTTAATTTTTAATTGAAAATGAAATATTTGTTTTAAAGGGCTTCGTAGGGAATAAAATAATAAATATTGAGATAAACTGCATAGAATGTAGGTCATTGAATAAGTGGTTTGCATATGGTTTTTTGATGATTGTTAATTGGGAATAAAATGTTTGTTTTAAAGAGCTATACGTTTTAAAGGAAATATAATAGGTGTTTGGGTATAGAGAGGAACTTGGGAAGAGATTTTTGGGAAGTTGTGGAAACTTCGTTTGACGATTGACATATGAGAGTTAACTTAATTAATTGGAAATAAAATATTTATCTTGAAAATCTTCGTTGGGAACCAGCCAAATATCGAGATAAATTTCGAGCAGAGCCTTTGAATTTAGATTTAGAGCGAAATTTCAAGATTCAGGGATAAAATAGAAGAGATAATAGTTTGGTAGAAATTTACTTTGTTTTGGCGATTGATAATGCCAACAGAGTGGAAATTCAAAAGAGCTGATTCAATTTTTTCTCCAAAAAATTATTTATTTATAACCGTATCTTCGAATTTAAATATGAATTTTAAATGTCAATCAATCGGCAATCGAAAAGAGGAGATACGCCAAAACAATGCATTTCGAGTATCGAGAAACCACACCATTTCCACCAATCTTTTGTTTCATCCCCCTTTCCATAATTCCTCTCGCTTTCGAAGAGCGAGCGAGGGGAGAGGGAGGCCGAATGGGAAACAATTGTTTCGTCGATAATGTCAGTGTCAAATGGCGTGCACGTTCGAGGACATTGACGTCGCGACGTTAACACACGTCCTTGGCCACCGCAAACCACCCTCCCTGTACCGGAGATGAAAGACAAAGCGGTGGAAAGAGGGTGGTTTGGTTTTTAGCATCACGTACGTGGAAAGAAAAAAAAAGAAATAAAGAAACAGAGAGAGAAAGAGAGAAAGAAAGGGAGAGAGAGAGGGAGAGAGAGAGAGAGATAGAGAGAGAGAGAGAGAGAGAGAGAGAGAGAGAGAGAGAGAGAGAGAGAGAGAGAGAGAGAGAGAGAGAGAGGAAGAGATGAACAAAAGACGGCTTGGTGCAACAGTTGTTCATTTTCTACCGCGTTTATACGCCGGTGGTTGTTCTCTGTAAAAAATACGCGGAAACACTGGCAGTCACGAGACTTCTTCATGGAAGTCGTCATCGTGCACAAGTGCGGCTTTGTGTTGTTCAAACATTTTTGTTACCGAGGCAAAGCTGGAAATAACGCATAAAATTGACGGATACCCGAGTGTGAAAAGAGCGAACTGGAACCCGTGTATCCATCCATCTTTTCCTCGTGTGCGTGTCCACTGCGAGGATAATAAATTATTATTATTGTTATTGTTGTATATACCCGTATCGTAGCTTTATTTAAATCGGATTTCGTAGAGGCGCGATTAACGAGTATCAACAATCGTTATTAAATATTTATGATAAGGGGGACAGTGTTGTGCTATTTTCGAATCGTATTAACATTCCATGATATCGCGAGCAAAGAGAAATTTATTTATTAAAACGGAAAAACGATTAGCAAATTGTGTTATTACCCCCTTTTGCTCTGTATCGTGTATTACGCGAATTATATCGTATACCTTTACTCGATTTCATTCGAATATCGTTTGTAGCGAATTACTTACGATTTTCTTTATAAGAGTATAATTTTAAATGGGAAGTAATTCACCAAGTTTGAGAGTTATTTCATTTTTTTTTCATTTTTTCATTTTCCACGAAAACGTTCCATTTTTCTTTCACACAGTTTCCAGGTATATTTTATCGATTATAGTTTATTTGAAATATAAATTGAAATATAAATAAGTATATTTATATCTTTTCCAAATTTTATTCAAATTAATAATGGGAAAGTATTTCTTTCGAAAAAGAAAATAAAACTCAAGTGAAATCGAATGAAATTATCAAAGCGTTAATTCGATAGAATTAATTAAGTGTTAAAATGCTCAACAAGTTCCTTTTTTTGAAAGAAGTTTTCAAGCTTTCGAGCAATTGCCGCTACGCAAGCGATCAAAATATATACGTAGAAAAATTCCGTGTCGTTCTTCTATGTTCTAAAAGATTCATAACTGTTGCATTCATATCCCGTTTACATCTGTACCAGTTTCGTGCGTTCGTATTTCCTTCATTCCGTGCTTTCTTCTTTTAAAAAAGGTAGCTTTGCAACATCAGTTGCGCGTCACTTTTTCTGGATTATCTAGCTAGTGGTTTTTTCCCCCTAGCGGTGTTTCTGTGAATGAAAATTTGTTACATTTTCTCAGATATAATATCGCTAACCTATGCGACTGGAAAAATTGACAAATTTGTAAGCAACAAGAATTAAAAAGATCTTTATTTATTCGGTTCCATCTTTTAAGCATTTTCGACTTGTAATCAGATTAATTTTAAAAAATGCCACGAATATTAATTATTTAAAAAATCAGTCGCGTTATCTTCAGAGTATCTTCGCTTCCATCATCCAAAATAAATTCTAAAATTCTAATCGTTGAAAGATTTACGAATCTAAAGGATTTTTATCACGGAGAAACATTGTTCAAACCCAAGCTTCTTCTACAAATTTACAAAAACGTCGCGCAGAAATGAAACATCTGAAAGATTCCACAGCCACACCTGAGCCCCTCTCATCCCGGGAACGTAACGTTAAAGTAGCAATCGACGGGTAAGTCGAGCATAAAAAAAAAAGGAACTTTTCTTGCACGCCCCTGTTATGCACTATACTATACCAGGAGATTCACAACTGTTGCATTCGTCTTTGTTCATTTTTCTATCTCTTCTTCTTGTCCCTCTTTTGCATTTTTCATCCTATGCGAAAAATACTCCGAAGAGGATGTGTCTCGAGACTCGAGAAAGATAAAAGATAAAGCAGATAGAGAAAGATTCGTATTTATCCATTTTTTTTTTTTTTTGATTCTTTCTTCTTTTTTTCCCTTCCATTTTTTTTCATTTTCTGCGAAATATTAGGAGAGAAGGGATATCGGAGTCGAATTCACAATTATATTGTATATATTATATTGATCTTTGTTTCTCATCCTCTACGAGCAGGAGAACAGGAGAACATCGAACTAGAAACGAAAACAAGAAAAATATAAAGAGAGTGGATATAAAGAAAGATTCATAACATATCGTATTCGTCTTCGTATTCGCATTCTTCGTCCTCTAAAAAATATCACAAAGACGAGTAATCTTGTTCATTTTCTCGAAACACGCTACGAACGAAGAGGAGCACGCGTCGATATGAAACGAGAAACGAGAAAAAATAAGAAAAAAATATAAAAAAGAAAGATTTTCACAACTGTTGCATTCCTATTTCGTTCATTTTTCTACTTTCATTTCTTCTTCTTCTTCTTTTCTGTGAAAGAATATATCGAGCTGGAACGAAAAAAGAATTTCTCTCTCTTTCATCTCCTCTTTACAACTGTTACATTCCTATTCCATTCATTTTTCTATTTCCATTTCTTCTTCTTCTTCTTCTTCTCTTCTACGAAAGAATATATCGAATATATAAAACAAAAAAAGAATTTCTCTCTCCTTCGTTACTTTTTCACAATTGTTTCATTCTGTCCATTTTTCCACCCCTGTTCCTTCTTTTTCTTCTTCTTCCTTTTTACGAAAGAATATATCGAGCTGGAAAAAACAATTTCTCTCTCTTTCGTCTCCTCTTTCTTCTTCATTACACGTGTCGATCCAGGAAACGAGAGAGAAAAAAGAAAAATTCGCGACAACTGTTGCGTTCGTTCTCCCTCCCTCATTCCTCCTTCTCCATTTTTCTCTTCCTTATCCTTTACCCTCCGAAACGAGAGACACGCTCGTGCACGCCTCGAAACGGAAGAAAGGGAATCAAAAAGCCACGGAAGAAAGGTCTAAAGGTCTACGGGGAGAGGAAAAGATGGGGAAGGATACGCGGGGGGATGAAAAGAATCGGAAGAGGCGAGGAGCGAAGGAAAGGAAGCGAAAGGAAGCGAGAGGAGACGAGAGGAAGGCGCACGGAACGAGCGTGAGCGCCCTCGACGAGCGGCGTCGGGACGTCGAGCGTCGCGGCGCCGCGTGAAAACCGAGAGGCGACGGCGTTCGAGTCAGTCTGCGTCCGCCAGTCGTCGCGACGTCCTCGCTTCGTGGTGACTTTTGCGCCGGATTCTATCCGTCGTTTCGTACCGTGAGCATCGCCAATGCTCGGATCGACGAGTCTTCGAATTCTACGCGTAGTCTTTCGACGGTTTTCTTGAAAAGCCCTTTGCGCCATTGCGGGGGAGGGATCCAACGAATTTTTGTACAATATCAATATCGAATTATTTCGTCTCTCGAAGGGACGAGGAGAGCTACGCCACGCTTTTGTGCAAAACAGGGGGTTGATTTGATCGCCCTCCGTTCCACAGATTCGAGAGTTTATCGGGAGAAATTTCGAGTGTGAGATCAAGAACGAGAATTATCGCGCGTTGTAGACACGCAGAGAGGAGGAGGAGGAGGAGGAGGAGGAGGAGTGTTTTCACAGGAAGGGGAGGAGAATCGTTCCTCTCGAGGAAACACATTGAATAGTAACGTCGCGAGACACGACGACGACGACGTGTCGACGAGGATTCGCTTCTTGTGCTTGGTATTTCTCCCTTTTCCACACCATTTCACCCTTCCCCCCTTTTTTTTCTCGCACCTGTGTTTCGCTCAACCGAGTTTCCACCGCATCGAAAGATCAACCGAGAAGAGAGAAAGAATCGAGCAGAAAAAAACACGGAAATTTGCTGCTCGTCCACTCTTTTTTCCCCCTCTCATTTTTCTCCCCTCTCTTTTTCTTTCTCTCTCTCTTTCTCTCTCTTTCTCTTTCTCTATTTTTTCTTCGACTTCCCCTCTCCTCGAATCGACGAAAAGAGTTTCTTGTGCGCGTCGGTGGATGGATCGTCGCCTTTGACATCCCTCGATATCTGTCGGCTGTTATCGTTCGGTAAGTAATTTGAAAAATGGATATTATAACGTATAGATACGTGTATTGTATTTGCTAAGATTCGTTCGTTGGAGGTTTTTTTTAATATTCGAATTTTTCTGCAACAAGTTGTTTCGATTTTGATCACGAAGTTGGGTACGAATAAATTGAGATACGTTATCTGGATTTATACCTCCTTTCTGCTACTTTCACCTAAAAACAACACCACGTTTAAAATCGTAATTATCACGTTAAGAAATTATCTCATCTTCTCTCAATTTTCACATAATCTTCTTTCAACAGAAGGAAAAATTGATCGAAACCATCATCGCGTTACATCACATTATCCTCTCGATAAATATTTCACCGTTAAAAGATCAACTACGCGCGTGTGTATATGTGTGTGTGTATATGCGTGTACGTGGGCGACTCTCTTTTCCCCTCCTCTCATTTCCTCCTCTATTTCCACTGAAAAATATTTACCCGTTAAACCTATTTTCAGAAATACATCAAACTTCCATTTATAATTCGTTCGTGTAACGCGTCGTAGTGTAACTGGTCGAGTGACTCGCAATATGAAATAACGATCCACCTTAGAGATCTTGGGATCTAAAATCTTGGGGAGGAATGTTCCTTCTGAAAAAAAGGAGGGGAAGAGAGAGAGAAAGAGGGAGAAAGGAGAATCCGATGGTTAACGCGCGATTGTTACGCGTGGGTGTAACAACGTGGCACGGATTTAATTTTCGCACACACAGGGGCGCGGATTCCGAACAATTGTAATTAAATTCTTTGGACGCTAATGACCGCGAGCACTTGTGTGTCTCGTGCAAATGATATTTAAATTAGTACGCTGCATGTATATTAATCGTGCCAAACAGGGCGGATTTTCGTGACGATTGTGCGACTTCCGGAAACTGTTGTTAACTGATCCTGCAACGGTAATAAATATTTTCGCGTAATTTACATCCCGCCCACCCTCTTGAATATGTTTCACCGAGACGTGGGCTGCCGTTACTGGCCCCGATACTTAACACAGTTCTCGTGTAACGAAATAAAGGGTTCATAAAAATGCAACCACGTTCCCATTGTTCGCCTTTGTTAACAACACGTTGCTCGGGAGAGGGGAGGGGGGGGGGAGAAGGGAGAGTAATAAATCGTCGAAATTTTCACACGCAACACACGCGTGAAACGGGGGAATATATACATACAGTCGGTTGAAGAAGTATTGCCGTATCACGCTTTATGCAAATTGAAATAACAAGTTGTGTCAATTCGATATATGAATAATGATTTTGTTTTTCTTTTTTTTTTTTTTTTTTATTAATTTTGCGAGAGGAGAGAATGAAATTTTGATCGTTAACGTTTCATTTTTAAAGTTCTTTGAATGCAAGTTTGATCAGAAAAATAATTGAATTATATCTGTAAGCTTTTTTTTTCTTAATTCTTCCATTATTTCGTCGTAAAAATTATTCCAAGTAATTGGATAATTGTACAAGGGAAGAATAAGGGAAAAAATAGATTTTTGATTGAAAATTGAAAAGGAAAGAATATATTTTCTTTTTTTCAGAAGGAACATATAACATATAATTATTATATCCTCTACGAACGACGCAATGATTTTCATTGAAGTTAGATTTTTCGTGAAATAGGTAAGATAACTTGTATGAATACTCTTGCGATTGGATGTACTCACACGTTGACCTGCGGTTTTTCGTCGATGAAAATGTTTAAAAATTCGGTATCGTGACCAAGGATAATGCTATTTTCTCCCTCCTCATACATAAATGCGAATAACTGTGAAATGAAGGATATCGATGCAATTTTATCCGCCATGTGATACGTAATATATAATTCTGGATAACATCGTACGTGTTAATAATGGATAAATGAAACGATAAATGGGAAATGTATTGATCGAGCAATATATATATATACATATATTTTTATAAATATTCCCGTTATGAAATCATCTGCCGGATTTGTTGGGGTAAAAAAGTTAATGGTAAAGAAAAAAGAAAAAAAAAAAGAAATAGTAATTTCAATGTAGGTAATTTTAATCGTTTCGTCCTCTTGAGGAAGATGAATTTATTGGAACTATAGGAAGATTGTTATTTTTTTTCTCTTTTTTTAATTTCCAGTTGAATTTATTGAAAGTATGTGTGGAAATATCATAGATGGTATTGGAAAATATGTTGACGTGCCCGAGAAAAGGAATTTATCCATATGTGGCCAATTGTATGCGGAAAAATATTTTTCATATTTAAATAAAAATTAAATTTACATACCTGTGCTAATGTCTTTCAACGATCAAATTAATTTATTTACGAATTTTTCCAATCTTGTCTTTTTTGAAGAATTTTATTTTTAACGTTTCCCTTCCATTTGGTAACGATATTAATTTTCTGATTGAGATTATTCTTCTGCTTCTCTAGAATTTCGAAAAATCGGAAAAAATTCTTGAGACACTTGCCAAAGTTTCTTCTTCATTGTACAAAGTTTTATCAACAAAATTGTGCATTCAGATTATTAACAGAGGATTTATATTAATGGTTTAATTCATTTATGATAATTTTTCTTACTCTTCTAAATATTCGGAAAAATCTTCATCCGTTCGAAAGTTTTATCAACAAAATTTTGTACACGAATTAACAGTCGTATAATTCCTCCATGAATGGTTTAAGTCATTTGATGATTACTTTTCTAGATAGATAGTGGAAAAATAAAAAAGTTCCGAGACACTTATCACACTTTCTTCCTCGATTATACTATATATCATCCATTCAAACCATTGTAAAGTTTCCTCAACCAAATTTCTGACAGACGCTTAATCTCACATTCCCTAATGTTTGTTTCCTTGAGAATTAATTTCACCTCGTCTCACATCGTTCCATCCTCAAATTTTAATAAATTCCCTCGATAAGTGCGGTTCCGTTAAGGTTTTACAAACGTAGGCAAACTTCCATGGAAATTGGCTCGCCCGGGTTTTGAATTCCTCGCCCAACGGAGTGTAGACTCGAAACAGACAGGTAAAGTTTCTAAATGATATCTACCTCGTAAGTTCATAACGAAGGTCGGTCGGTTCCTCCTCCACCCTCAATCATAACTTACGAGTTATCGCGGATAGAAAAAGCGAAAAAGAAAAAAAAAAAAAAAAAAAAAAGAAAGAGTTTTGTAGTAAAAGAGTAATCACAACCAAGCCTTTCTTCGGAAGGGCGTCGTTCCCTTTTTTCCTTTCTTTCTTTCTTTCTTTCTTTCCCTCTTTTCTTCCCTCCTTTTCCTTCCTTATCTCCTTCCTTATCTCTTACATCTTCTTATCAATTTTTTATGAGACCGCTTGATTCTAATTGCCAGAGGTAATTCCGTGACTAAGTTACTTATTGGAGTAATAAGGGGCCCCATGAATTATTAATGATATCGACAACGTCTTAATCGTTTATAAATTCGCGGAATTAACGTTGGATCGTTGCGGCCGAGGAGGAATCTTGTAATGTGGCGAAGGAAAATATTTTACGAGAGCAAGAAAAAGAAAGAAAGAAAGAAAGAAATTAAATTCGTTCGTTCTATAAATATGGAGGAAGATTGAAAAGATCGAGGCAATTAATTAGGAAGACGGGTCAGGAGTTTTAACTGTGGAGCAAATTTTATGTTATTCGTTTGAGCGAGGGTAAATAGGTAATTTTTAACTTATGGAGAAAAGAAAATTGAATTTATTTATTTGTATAAATAGTGAAGGACAATAGATTAGAAGTGTTAATGCAAAGGCAAAGGAAACGAATTTTTATAAGGAATTTTAATTATAAGAAATAGAAAAAAAAATGGAATTTCTTCGTTTATCCGCTTTATAAATATATATAATGGGGGAAAAATTGGAAAAATCGGGGCAATTAATTAGGAGGATGGCACGCTTTTGATATGGCATAAGAAAAAATTTAAGATATAAGAAGAATTAAATTCATTTCTGAGTATCGTGAAAGAAAATTGAAGAGATATTTCGATAAAAAAATTTTTTTCAAGTATTATATCGAATGAGATAATTTTTAATGAAATACGATAATTGGAAAAAAAAAAAAAAGAAATCAAAACCTAATATAACAATTCATTTGTTATGCGCATCGTGGATTATCGTTATATTTTAAATTGGCTCGATAATGGAATGAAAACATCGGTATCGATAACCATACGCGAATATATTAAGTTGAATGGTGCTCGAAATTTATGCATCCATTGTGGAAACACATTAGATTAATCACTTATTAATCTATAACAAATATTCCGCATATACATCCCCCAAGATGAGATATACGAGGGGCTCGCCGCGTGAAACGCAGTATTGTTGCACAAACAACCGACAGAGCGAATCGGTTTTCAACACGTACAATATGAATTACCTTAATAAATAGCTTATCTCGTTAATTGACACGTATATCATTAAAGGACAATTGATCAAGATATAACGTCGACTGATTGTAATTGTTGTAATGAATTGTCGAAAATGTTTGCGCGTTTATGAACACAAAAATCTAAACGCGAAAAATTTAAATCTTTAACGCGAATGCGGATATGCGAATTTAATAATAATTGGAATATTAATATTCGTATGTAATAAAATTAAATTTAAAAATTTATCATGTATGACGATATTTTATTCACGTTTCATTTGTATATTATGTAGGTTTGTTAAATATTCGTAAAAATTTACGAATTATCTTGATAATTAATAATTCGCTTTTTATTAAATCACATTGTTTGCGAGGTTTTTTTTAAATTATTCTTCAGTTTCGAAATTAAAGTTTCACGCGTTGTTTCATATTTTTTTTTTTTTTTCCTTTTTTTTTACCACACATTTGAATTTCGCTCTGTTATTATCTGACGCGTGCATTGCTCAAGAATTTCTAGAAATTCTCTGGAAAATTCGTGATTCTAAAAATATAAAAATTCCATATTAGATATATCTAGACAGTGATTTTAAATCCGTGCTTTTTTTTTTGCATAAAGCTTATACTTTTACAATTTATAACTAT